AGCTTCAGAACAAGAAGTATTTGGCAAAAACTATCTCAGGTCACCCAGATGAAAAAGTAACTGGAATATCTCTAATTGCATTCAAATACAATGAAGAATATGCAAGAATCTCACATGCAGGTTTGTAAAAATGAGGGAACATCTCAGCAAAAAAAGATCTAACAATATCCTTCCTGTCATCTGCTCAGGATGACCAGAGCTCACTTGCCCTTCACTTAGTTCAATTCAATTCAAGCAAAATTCTATGCTGTACTCAAATATATTGTATTTTTGAATGTCCTAACAAGTATAAAAATTGATACAAATCCAGAGGACTCCCAGAAAGAAAGCTTTCTTACATACCTCTGTGTAACCATTAGTAGATGGTTCAGGAGTTCTGGCTTCTGATGACAAGGGTGAAGGTGGTTTGCTTTCTGGCTTTTTCTTTGATATTACAGGCTGTGTTGGAATTCTGTGCAAATAGCCATATCCAATACCACATCCTAAACTGCACAAACAAAGCAGAACAAGATTTGAAAAAGGTATTCTTATCAAACCCATGTTTTCAATTTTGACTCTTTAAAACAAAGAGTAACAGCATTTTAGGGTACTTTATCTACAGTAAGAAAAACCTATCTGCAAAACTCAGTTTTGATTCATAAGGAGCACTTAGGGTGATACTTAGGGATATATACATAGCTCAACTTTGGCTTGATTTATTTCCAATGATCTTTACAAAATACACACTCTGACTTAATCTGATTTTTTCTTGCTCCACTGAATACTTGACTGTGAGAATACAGCCAGTAAATCTGCTGCCAGAAAAGTCAACATAAGTTTTGCCACTGGTTTCAAATCAAACAATAGATTCAGAATTCTTCATAATTCTCAGATATATTTTTTTCCTGAAAAAAAAACTTCTATGTGACAAATGTAGGAAAACAAAACTTAACTTGAAAAAGCTAAGATCAGCAATAATACTTTTAATATGAGCTCATTTACAGTAAGTGTATAACCTGTTAGCACAGTGAGCAACTGACCACTGATCAGTACCTTCCTTCTCCACCCCAAGCTCCATTGGGAGTCACAACTACCTCTCGAATGGCGTCTGCTTCAGTGTTATAAACCATCAGCTTCAGTGGCTTCCCCTCATGGGATTCAATCAGTGAAAAGAAATCCTCTGACTAAGCAAAGAAAAAATAAGAGTAAAAAACAGTTACTCAGCTCAAGTCTGTAATACAAGGGGTTGGAACTAAGTTAAGTTTTAAGCAGTTTTTTTACTTCTAAGTAAAAGTGATCAATGCCAAAACCCAACAGCAGATTAAAAATCACTAGTGTAGTCTGATCTATAAGAGCAACTTATTTAACTGACAAATTAAAAAAAGTAACATATACCTGTATCATAAAGTACCTACTATAAACATCAATCGCCCAAAAGATACTATCCAAATAGATTTATTGTGCACAAAATTAGATTAAAAAACAAATAAATAAATACAGCGTGCCCTTAGAGGAACACATGCCCTACCTCTTGCAGAATCTGATCAGATCCAACAACGTAGTCAGTGTATGGCTGCAGACCAGCTAGAGCTGCAGGAGATGCAGGTTCAACATCCTGCAAAAGCACAACATATGTTACCAGAAAGCACAGCTCGGTGAGCTACAGAAAGATCAAAAAGGATTGTTAACTCAGAAAAAACTATAGCAGGAAAGAACATTATGGGACAAAAAAAGAAGCCTCTGAACAGTCTGTATCTGAGTGTAGCATCTTGCAAGATCTATTTTTATATATACATATATATGTATATATGTATGCATCAAGACATTACCAATTCAAAATAACATGAAGAGCTTGAGAAGTTGCCTTTATTTTAAATAAAACAAAAACAGAACAAAATTTTCCTAGGCTATTCTACTCTTTTGCTCTCCTGCAACAAGAATATTCAAATTACATAAAAAATATATATATTGGGTGCTATTTTAATTTAAAATTACTTTGATGAAGCTTAGCCAACAGAGGCACATGCTTTGTGCATTTGCCATTGTTTCTTGCCATTAATTCCTGCCACGCACACAGGTAAATAAGCAGCCACTTGCCAGGGCAACGCTAATAGCCACTCACTACTTGTCCCTATGCAAATGGCTTTGACAAACCACTTCCAAGAGAGTTTCTTCTTGTATGTGATTTCAGCAGCATTTACTTTTATATAAAGGTTACTCCCAAAGCAATACATTTTTAAGAAATATTGTTATTAACACAATCCAGCTCCCAACTGGCTTTTATCTACAGATCCTTATGAAAACATGCCTAGAATACCTCAAATTATGAATTAACACATCCTTGAAATGTGACTGGAAGATTGACCAGCTAGAAGAGGAATTAAAAAACATACCAAATGTTTTTAAAAAATTAAAAAGGTTCAGATTTGATTACCAAAAGACTTTTTAACATTTACCCTCTTGCCAGCCAGAATAGACTCTAACAACCTAAAACAATGTTAGACTCTTGGAGAAGTTCTGAAATAGCAATTTAAATTCTCTTCTTGGCTCAGCAACTTGCTGGACAAGCAAAGAGTTCTGTCTCACCAGGACATGCCACACATGTTCATTGGCTCCCTGGAAGCTGCAGAACCTCACGCTGGCACCGAGAAGACCTTGCCCTCCCCACATGTTGCTGGGGATCACCTCCACTTCTCTTATTTTCATTGTTTTGATGTTATACACCTCCAGCTTCACTGGTTTTTCAACATTTGCCTTCAGCAGATCTTTCAGCATATTGTTTTCTTTATTCTGTAGAGCACAGAAAGAGGTGCATCATTAACATGATTTATAGTTTTATCTGTAATACAAAGATTTCAAGTCTGAAAGAGTCTGAAATAATGACCAATGGTAGTCAGAAGTTTAGATCCTGCCTCCCACAGTCCCAGCAATTCAACCTTTTTTTTTTTTTTTTTTTAAGTCAGTAATGTCAGCTCATGACCCTTTTTATTAGTAATCTCCATTACTCACTTTCATGACATATTGTCCCACTCCTAATTACTATTAAATAACATCAGCAATATCAGACTCAACTATGTGATAGCCAGAATAAGCAGCAACATTATGTATCATGCTTCTAAATCTTTACCTTATTCAATAATCACTTAAGAGTCATTACTATCTGACTGTGAAAGAACAGAATATTTAGGAACATTTTAAGGAACTACTGTTATTTTGGCATAGTATTAGCCTAAATTGACTAATCTTACATTGAAATATTCCATTATAATGGCCAATTCCAGAAAGACACGCACACTAACAAAAAGCTAGACAAAACTAAGGATTTCTAGGTGGGATGTAACTAGGATGAGGTGTATGGCGAAAACCCTGAGCCTTTTAACCAAAAAAAATAGATGTTAAAACTTACTCAACTCTTTTCTTTCATCACTCATGCAGGAACTGGTTTTAAAGCACACGCAGACAATGCCACGTGGCACCTTTCCCCTTGTTAATGATTTTTTTTGTTTTGTTTTATCAACTGTTGAAACAGGTTTGTTTAAATAAATTTTGAGCTCCTACCATTGACTCACAATATTCACATTGTGACCAAAAGTATGCGTAAGTGAGTAATATGATGAATGTTATGTTAAATCTAGTGATAGCTTAGTCTTTTCCTCACATGTGAATCAAGACAACCGGAGAGAACTTTAAACATAACTAAATTTTATACTACATTTTTAATGCAACATGTGATGTCCAATATGACAAGTTTTCTCTAGTGCAACACTTTATGTTCTGTCTTTCATGAGTACAATACTATATTTTATTCAGAATAATAAAATCATGAGACTTACAAGCCTAGTGTGTCCTATTGCAATAATGAAATCAAAGAAAGGTTCCAATCCTCCTTGCTGAGCTGGGGAGTTTTCTTGAACCTGCAGAGTGTACATTTTATTGTTATTGCGTATTAATGTTTGGTACAGTATTAATCTTTATACTTAATTTAACATTTATTTTTGAATCTAACTAGAAATGAGGCATTGAATAAGAGATCTTGGGAAGTGATCCAGCACTGTGATTTTATTCTTACTGTGTTACTTAAAAAGCATCCAAATCAAACTGCAGAAGATGGTTTGTGAACTACTGCACAAGAAGCTGATATTTTGATGCAGAGGGCACTACACAGAATTATTAAACACTGAGCACTTTGGAGAAGAGCTTAGTTTTCAAAGAGTTTGTTCATAACTTTCTTACACACTATTAATTGCTAGAGCACATTAGGAGCCCCCAGTTATACAACTTTTTCCACAAGCACTGACTACCACAATCCACAGCACACTCGAATGGGAACACCAAAGCAAATATGCTGCAAACACAAGGCTATCTACAAGTACTGGTCAAAAATAAGATCTTGACATAACTTAGAAAAGCTTTTAAAAGTCATAAGAGTCATAATGTCTCAATTTCAATATAAACAAGTGACCACAAAACAGATGCAATACAGAAATACAGAGAAAACCTATTAAAATGTAGTTCAGACACCAGTGATACAGAAATTATGTAAATACATATAGGGTATATGAGAATGTATCCATTTAGTAGTATGCTAACAAAGCAACATAGTATGAACAGAGTCATTGCAAACATGCTAATGATTTGCATTAGTTGTGAATTTACTATTGCTTTTTTGCAAATCCAGCAACACAGCCCATAACCTGTAACATACTTGAGGAGATCTGAAAGCCATCCCACACTTTAAATACTGATTTACAACCTGGACATCATCTAAACTAAGAAGTTCATGGCTAGTAAATTCCACCCCAGGAGCTACACATATCTTATAGCACTTTGGCAACATTATAATCCTTTCTTATAATCAGTAACTTTCACCACAGTCCTAAATTGCATCAATGGCAAGCAGCCAGTTTGTGCTGAATCCACCTAAAGGCAAAACTCTCACAGTTCTAAATCAAGTGAAAGAAGCCTTTCAGTGAAAACTATCAGGAAATTTGTGTTCAAGGACTGAAATGTGTGCTCAAGGATCAAACTGCACACAGGAAGAAATGAATAAAAATTATTGTGTGCCAATAGTTTATGGAGTTCAGAGGATTTGTTGAGCATGTGCATAAAATCCATGCAGATTTCCATATGAAGTTGTCAGCAACACCAAACTCAGTATTTCGTGTCAGAATGACACCATATTGGAAGTGCTGTTATGTAAGTTCCCTGGCGAAAAAAATGAAGACGGCATCTCCTGCACACTGTAGGTCATGAAAATCTTCAACCACCTTCCAGTACTGACAGCTTAACATAAAAGAAGGAAGTGTTTCATGGCCTATGGATTTTCCTGATTAATTCATTTGAGGGGATACAAGAAGCAGATTACTAAGGATATTGGTGCCCTGAACACAGCTGGCTTAAGAGTACCCTTAATACACACAAGTGGATGAGCAGAGAGCAGTGGATGTAGTTGACTCCAGTAGGCTTTTTGGCACTGTCTCCCACGGCATCCTCACAGACAAGCTGATGAGATACAGGCTGGATAAGCAGTGAATGAGATGGACTGAAAACTGAGGGCTCAGGGTTGTGATCAGTAGCATGAAGTCCAGCTGGAGACCAGTCACCTGCAGTGCCTCCCAGGGAACCAAAACAGAGCCAATAAACTTAACCTCTTCATGGATGACCTGGATGACGGGATGAGGGCACCCTCAGCAAGTTTCCTGATGACAGAAAGCTGGGAGGAGAGGCTGATACCCAAGAGGCTCATGCTGTCACTCAGGGACCTCAGCAGGGTGGACAGAGAGGAACCTCATGAAGTTCAGCACAAGAAAGGAATAACTGCAAACACCAACATGGACTGTAGGCTGATCTGCTAGAAAGCGGCTCTGTAGAAAGGTACCTGGGAGTCTTACAGCATATTCCTTTTCCATAAAAAAAGGTCACTTCCCTGTGAGATGGGGCTGCACACTGAAGCAGGCTGCCCAGGGAGATTGTAGAGTCTCCAGAGATATTGAAAACCTGCTTGACTACAGTCCCATACAACCTGCTTGAAAAAAAAGTGTGGTTAGGGCAGACGACCTCTAGAGATCCCCTTCAAACCACAGCTATGTTGTGATATTTCTTGTGATACGACACGAATTGCCGAGGAGATGGAAAGCAACACCTAGCAACAACATCCCTGCTCTCGCATAGAGAAGAAAACAACCGAGAAAGCGACAAGATCTTCTGTGCAACAACGCGGCAGCCCCTCGGGACAGCAGCGGGTGAACGCGCGAGGCGGCG